GCTCGATTCTCGAGTTCGAGGAGGTTAGAGTCTCCCACATTAATCTAATTTCATCTGTTGATTTAGGTTTACGTGATTTATTTGTTTCAATTTGCTTTGGAATACTTAATCCGATAATATGTTATGGTCCGATGAATTGTTTGTGTGTTTATCTTATCCAGGGTTTGAACTTTTTGTATTATGCTAATTTACATCTATCATGCTGTTACTTTCTGAGGTTTTATGTTCCTTTTATGTAAAATTGGACATTTCGATAAATTCTTCCTTTCGTGGAAGTTGAGTAAGCGTAAACGTTGCTATTTCTTCTTTTTGTTCTTGTTTACTATTGAACCTTTTGTGTTCTGTGGCAAGCTGGAGAAATGTGATGAAGCAAATCAGCGAAATTATGAAATTTTGATGCATAGAAGTTATGATCTTTTCACGACTGTATTTAATTTTTTGTGCATTTGTTTTCATGTGGGATTAGAAGTTGTATCTAGGACATAGCTCATTCAGCTTCTCCATTGGCATAGTCGATTACACATCCAAGAAAAGAATATTACCTTCAAGCTATTAATTCTTTTGTTGCTGTGTTTCTGATTCTGTTAACCATATAATATTCGTAATTTAACCTTGCTCTTGTTCAGAAATGAATGCTTGTTTATGAGATCCCTCATCTTTGCATAACATTCTACTTTTCACTTAAAAGATGATTTGTCTTGAAGCTACTACTTTATTCCCTCTCAAAAGGTAGACTTCAAAGGAAATCATGTTCTTGACAATGTGCCATAACTACTTCCATAGTGTTTCCGAGTAAATTATGTGTTTCATTTGTAAAAGTTTTCTTTCTTTTGCTTATGATAAAAATAATATGAATTCATATGCAGTGAGAGAGAGTTTGCGAAGTACAAAGAAGGATTATGCAAAAACAGAAGATGATTTGAAATCCCTTCAAAGTGTTGGACAGATAATAGGCGAAGTCTTAAGACCTCTTGACAACGAACGATGTAACTAACTTCTTTCTTTATTATTCCAACATAAAAAAAAATCTTTCCTTTCTCCTTTTTTCTTTTTTTAATATATCTTTTTATAAATTTATCACAGTGATTGTTAAAGCAAGTAGTGGCCCAAGGTATGTGGTTGGATGCAGGAGTAAAGTGGACAAAGAAAAACTCACTGCTGGAACTCGTGTGGTTCTTGACATGACTACTTTGACCATTATGCGGGCCCTCCCTCGTGAAGTTAGTAGATTTTTAGAAAGAAAAAAAAAACTCTTTCTTTTTTCTATATCTTTTAATTCTTTAATTAATTGATTTTGATGGTTTGACCAATGTTTTTTAAGGTTGACCCGGTTGTTTACAACATGCTTCATGAAGACCCTGGGAACATCAGCTACTCTGCAGTTGGTGGGCTTTCAGATCAAATTCGTGAACTTAGGGAATCCATAGAGTTGCCTTTAATGAACCCTGAACTCTTCATAAGGGTTGGAATCAAGCCCCCCAAGGTACATTTTTTTTAGGGTAAATTACACGGATAGTCCCTGTGGTTTAGGGTAATCTGCGTGTTTGGTCCCTAACAACTTTTTTTAACTCGGACCGTCCTTACTTTATATTTTTGTTGCACGCTTAGTCCCTATCTAACCTAAAAAGACTATTTTGCCCTTAATGACTATTTTTATTTTGTTAGTTCTTTTTATATTATTCCAGTTATTATTAATAAATTAAATTATTAATATATTGCTGGAAAAATGATTGATTCCAGCTTAATCCTCTACGGTTCTTACCACCACCTCCAGTCACCGGCACCAAATCCGGTCATCATCTCCGGCCAAAGATCCATACCACATAAATTATCCAAAAATCAAAATAAAGCCATCTAACGTTCAACACTAAATCTGAATATACATCTAAAACCAAACTTGTAACTCAAATTCAACACCAAAATAAAACCAGAATATGATGTTGAATCCTAGAAGAAAACCAGATTCAGGTGAATCCCCCTACCCTTTTGTCGAAAGTAGAAGAAGACCTTTTGATGCCTTCACCGCTTAACGCCTATCCAATCGATGAGGTATCCTAGAAATAATTGTGGTCTTGAAAATCAATGAAAATAAAGAAGATCGATGATGGGAAATCGACATTTGAAACCCAAAAATCCAGTCTAGAGACCGATAATATCAATGATAAACCAAATCGTTTTTTGTTCCATGTGAGAGAAGGGGTAATTCAGTGGGTTCGAAACTGAATAAAGGGGGGAACAAATAAAGACCCTACCGATCTTCAGAAACCCTAGAATCCATCTTCACCATTGCCAAAGTATTTTTCCCACGAACAAGAACAAAAATTGGTGCTTCAGAAACCCTAGTTCCCATCGCCGGCTGCCATGGTTGAGCTTTCTACAATTTCCGACATATAATAACAAGAGAACAAGGTGTGAAAACCCTAGATCCCTTACCAGGTTGTGCGATTTGTAGTTTATGTTTGCCAAAGAAACACCGACTTTCGACGTTGGTTCTTTTTTATTTAATATTGCATCTGATTGGTGGCGGTGGCTCGCCGGAGAATATATAAGTGGTGGTGTTGCTGGTTTGTTTGAGAAGGACACGAAAACGATGGAGGTGGAGGGTGGGGTTTTATGGGAGGGGCTGAGGAGGTGGGCCCACATATCTAATTAATATTTTTTTTCATATATATTAATATTTGTTTTTAATAACTAATATTTTAAAAAATGGTAAAAGAAATCAGTAAGGGTAAATTAGTCTTTTTAGAACGGACAAGGACTAAGCGTGCAACAAAAATATAAAGTAGGGACCGTCCGAGTTAAAAAAAGTTGTTAGGGACCAAACACACAGATTACCCTAAACCACAGGGACCATCCGTGTAATTTACCCTTTTTTTTATAATTTTATATTGTCATGATCATGTAAAATTACTAATATACCCTTTAATCTGTTTAGGGTGTTCTTCTTTATGGACCTCCTGGTACTGGCAAGACACTACTAGCAAGAGCAATTGCCAGCAATATAGATGCTAATTTCTTGAAGGTATTTCTTTTTTTTTTTTCTTTTTGTGTAATTTACAAAAACGGTCCCTGTCTTTTCTGGTTTTTATTGTGGTAGTCCGGAATTGAAATCTTTTTCAGGTTTGGTCCTTATTTCAAGGCCCAGGTATCAAAATTTGATATAGAAATTTCAAATAAGGACCAGAATTGAAGAAAAAAAAAGTTTCAGTTTTGGACTAAACATGGTAGAAATCAGAAAGTACAGGGACAATTTTTTGTAATTTATTCCTTTTTGTAATATGTGTGTGGAAAAATGTTTACAGGTTGTTTCAAGTGCGATTATTGATAAGTATATTGGTGAGAGTGCAAGGTTGATTAGGGAAATGTTTAATTATGCTCGTGATCACCAAGTAATACGGCTTAAACCCTTGATTTTTAAATATTATTTGGGTATTTATAATCAGGCTAATCACAAAAATAAACAAAAATAGGAAGGTAATATTAATAGCACAAATCACCTTCCCATTTCTGATTATATTCGTGATTATCCCCAATTATAAGTCTATAATATTTCCTTAATTACATTCTTAACGATTTTTTTATAAATTATTATTGAAGCCTTGTATCATATTCATGGATGAAATTGATGCGATTGGTGGACGTAGATTCAGTGAGGGAACAAGTGCAGATCGTGAAATCCAAAGAACACTCATGGAGTTGTTAAATCAACTCGATGGATTCGATCAACTTGGAAAGGTTTAAATCAATTTATATAATTCAAAATATATAATTATTTTCTTGATTTTATAAATGGATGTTTTTTTTTTGGTAGGTTAAAATGATAATGGCGACAAACAGACCGGATGTGTTGGACCCGGCTCTTCTCCGACCCGGTCGACTCGATAGAAAAATAGAGATTCCATTGCCCAATGAGCAGTCAAGAATGGAAATTCTTAAAATCCATGCTGCTGGGATTGCTAAACATGGTGAAATTGATTATGAGGCAGTTGTCAAGCTTGCTGAGGTAAAACATAAAACCTTAAAAAAAAAAAAAATGTTGTATATATTTTGATTGTGAGATTTGTGGGTTTTTATTTTGTTTTATTTTATTTAATGGGTTTTTAGGGATTTAATGGAGCGGATTTGAGGAATGTGTGTACGGAGGCAGGTATGAGTGCGATTCGTGCAGAGCGTGATTATGTCATCCATGAAGATTTCATGAAGGCTGTGCGGAAACTGAATGAGGCCAAGAAGCTTGAATCCAGTGCTCATTACAATGCTGATTTTGGAAAAGACTAGGAACAGATGACAACATTACGTAGTACTTGTAGTTTCCAAAGTTTGCACTTGGATTTACCTTATCATTTGCTAATCTTCACATTTATTTTTTTTAAATGCCAATAGACTTTTAGCATTTTATACGTTCTGGAAATTGATTATTAGGCTTATTCTCTCCATTGACGTTACATATTAAATTAACTACTTATATATAAAATAACATTCACTCTTTCATCATTTGCATAATAATATATTATTTTTATGCAAAATATGCAACTATTGCCAAATCATGTAACTAGTCATCCTAGGATGAACCAAATATTGTGTCTTGTTATGTGGGACAATTTTATAAATTGATGAGATGTTAGGTGTTTACTTGTGTCTTCAAACAACTTTTTTTTAGTTCTTTTGCATTGCAACACTGTAGTAGCATGTTTTCTTGGTTTTACCATTTACCTGTTAAATGAATTGAAATTATAGCAATTATAGTTTGTTTCAAATTGAAGCAAATCTTATTGACAGTTTTGCATCTCTCTCTCCTTGTCAATTACAACATAAATTGTTCAATACAATTTTATCAAAACCAGGAAAGGAAAATGCTGAAAGTTTTACTATTCCCACTCTAAACAATCCACAGCTTGTTGGTGTAACTGTCTGTTCCCAGCCGCCACTACATTAAAACCTGCAAACACACAACACATGACTATGAAAACCAAAGCATCCAAAACATTCCTTATTTGGTAAGTTTAAGGTTTAAAATAATCAAGTCTTGTAAGATGAATATTACTTGTTGGTTTTGAAGTGGAAGAAGCCACCCAGCTAAGCTCATTCCCTTTCCAATCAGTTATCACTCCACCAGCCCCTTCTATCACCGGTATTAGCGAAAGAAAATCATATGGCTGCAATTTAAAACATATCAAAAATCAATAAGACAAAAAGTGTCCTTGTTTATTTTTTAAACATTTACATTTTTTATCCAGATAATGTAAAAATATACGAAGAAGCAAAAACTCACCTTCAGACCAGACTCTACTACCAGATCTACATGCCCAGAAGCCAGAAGTGCATACGCATAACAATCACATCCATATAAAGGAACTTTCACCTATGAAAAAAATAAATAAATATCATTACGTTTTAATTCTTGCCATCAAACACAACGGAATGGTATCCAGATGCATAAGCACATTAACAGACCTTATCTCTCACTCTAGCAAAAGCCACTACAGCATCGCCACTAAATAGATGTGGACTGGTTGTGTACCTAAGTAGTTTATCATAAATAATGAAACAGGATGTTAAATTGCATGCATATAATGAAACAATTTCATTGTTCAAATAAAAAGAAACAGGGAATGATGAATCATACAGATATGCTTGTGAAAGCTTTGGACAATTGCGAGTGGATATTTCTTCTCCATTTAGTGTAGTAGTTCTTCCAGTTATACCAACCCATCTTTCTCTTAAAATAGGCTGATCGATTACTCCAAGAATCTAATATCAAACGAGACAATATCAATAAAACAGACACCTGTATATTGCAGACATGAAATCTGAGGGATCATATTGATTCATACCGGTTTACCTCTGTGAAGTAAAGCAATGAGGGTGCCAAACACCGGTTTGCCTGAATACAGCAAAAGTAGAAGCTCTAAATTTGACCTAATAATAAGAGTTTCATATACAATCTAGCAGAAAGGTATACCTGTAATGAAGCTCTTTGTCCCATCTATTGGATCCAAAACCCACACATAATCTGCAGATTTCTCTGTACATTGCCAACCGTTCTCCTCGCCATAACTGCAATTGTGTAAATAGTTCCTTTAAATATACGAACAGCCATCTCAATGATATGGAAATCACTGATAAACTGTAAGAATGCTTTCTTCAATGTTCATCTAATTAGTGAGGAAAAAGGCACAATAGCGATCTCAAATCAGGTAACTTACATTGCATGAGAAGGCAAACTCGCTCGTATTATCGAGATCATTGCTTCTTCAGCAGCTCTATCAGCTATTGTCACCGGACCTTAGAAGAATCAAAACAAACAGCAGAAGACATAATAAGAAATTATGTACAAGCAATAAGTTCATCGATCTAGAGTTAACTTTTGAGGTCCAAATCACTAATTTTCGGCTCTAAAATTGATCCATATTCTTCGATTTTTTTCCGTAATATTGGTAGTGAATTGAAGAATGTAGGTAAATAAAAAGAAGCTAAAAAAAGCATAATGTAAAATAATTTTGAAATATAATGTAGAAGCAGAAATTTACTCAAATCTTCTTTGTCGACGATATCAAATTTCTTGCGAAAATACTTGCGAATGACATCGCCGGCGGCGTCGGCTAACTTGGTTGCGACGTTGGCAAAACGATCAAGTTCAGACCCGCTATGTTCGACGCTCGTAACCGCATCAACTCCGTCCGAGATTGTCGACCGCGTTGTAGTCATCGAGAGGATTCGGCGAGAGTTTGTCAAGGCTAGGGTTGACGATGGCGATGAAGACAATGATGATGAGCAGCAGGTCCTATAATTCGTATGGAGGAAAGCACGAGAGCGAGGATCTAGAGAGAGAAAGTGAGATTGAGAGAGCATTTTTGTGGCGGGAAATTGAAGCTTGGAGAGCTCTCTCGCATGGAGGAAGGCGGAGTAGCAGAGGAGAGCGAAGATGGAAATCGGTCAACAGAAGTGTTGTGGACCGTTGGATTATATGCCATGTGAGGAGATCAGGAGACCTTGATTTACTATTTAAAATTATATTTTCCTAGTTTTAATTTGACATTTTTGCCGTGTATACATAAAGGTATTAGTTATTTAGAATATTATTATAATTAAATATAAAGTATATTAATTATATGAAATGTTTTTTCATTGAAAAATGTAAGTGGGATAATGACTTAGGAAGGTAATAACGTTTCCTGTTTGTCCATCTTAGGTTCCTAACGTATTTTTTGTGCGTATTACACCATTAAAGTTATTATAACCGTTTACAAATAGCCCTTTTAACAGGAAGAAGCCGGTAAAAAGATTATTTATAAATGGTTATAACAACCTTAATGGTGTAATATATACAAAAAATACGTTAGGGACCTAATATGGACAAACGGGAAACGTTATTACCCTCCTAAGTCATTATCCCATGAAACTATAAACCCCTATAATAAATTTTTACTTTTTAAATAAGAAACTTATAGGCCTTGGGGTTGGTATTTTGGATGTTTTTAACCTCGGCCTTCTTTATAAATGGAAGTGGCAGTTTCTTAATGACAATGGAGCTCTTCGGGTTTAAATTGTCAAATTTTGTCATGGGGAATGTGGTGGTTTTTCGGACGATTCGAGAATAGGAATTGGAGGGGGTGTTTGGCAAAAGATTGTAGTATCCATTAATCACCTCCATGAGAATGGTTGTATTGCTTCTAATTACATGTATAGAGTGGTGGGGGATGAGACTCAAACGAGGTTCTAGAAGGATGTTTGGTGCTTGGATATTCCTCTTAAGGAGCGGTTCAGGAGGCTCTTTGCTTTGGCCTTTAATCAAGATGCTCGAGTAGCACCAAACATCCTTCTAGAACCTCGTTTGAGTCTCATCCCCCACCACTCTATACATGTAATTGGAAGCAATACAATCATTCTCATGGAGGTGATTAATTGATCCTACAATCTTTTGCCAAACACCCCCTCCAATTCCTATTCTCGAATCGTCCGAAAAACCACCACCTTCCCCATGACAAAATTTGACAATTTTAACCCGAAGAGCTCCATTATCATTAAGAAACCACCACTTCCATTAATAAAGAAGGCCGAGGTTAAAAACATCCAAACTACCAACCCCAAAGCCTATAAGTTTCTTATTTAAAAAGTAAAAAATTTATTATAAGGGTTTATAGTTTCATGGGATGATGACTTAGGAGGGTAATAACGTTTCCCGTTTGTCCATATTTAGTCCGGAACGTATTTTTTGTGTATATTACACCATTAAGGTTTTTATAACCGTTTATAAATAATCCTTTTACCGGCTTCTTCCTGTTAAAATGACTATTTGTAAACGGTTATAATAACCTTAATGGTGTAATACGCACAAAAAATACGTTAAGGACCTAAAATGGACAAACAGGAAACGTTATTACCCTCCTAAGTCATTATATCAAATGTAAATACATGGAACTCTATCGCTATTTGGTGGGGATGTTCGTCTTTTTGAGCAGATTTTCGTATAGTTTTTAGAGAGGAAGTCAACATAAGATTTTTGATGTTGTGGTTTTGACTATTTTTTGGTGTTAATGGAATTTTTGTAATTCTATTCTTTTGGAATGGTCCTCTTTAAGAATTTCTTTTTGATAATGTGATAAATATGATGTTTTTTGGATTTCCAATAAGCATGGTAAAACTAAACTTGGTTGGAGTTATTGGCTTCACAATGTAACATCCTGACTTCCAGGTATTTCTTTATTATTTTTTATTAATGAGACTTCATATGTGACTCGACGAGTTGTGAGCCTAACTCGTCGAGTAGAGTCTGATTAGACCACATGAGTTTAATGATCGACTCGATGAGTCAGAGAGCTGACCCACCGAGTAGGCGTTGTAAGATGAAACCCTAAATCTCCGAGTTTGGGGCCTATTTAAGGAAACTTATGTCCTCATTTCCGCCTCACTAATTGTCTAACCTTCTTGTGTGAAACCCTAAATGTGTGTAGTGAGCTAAGAGGGTCACAAAGCTAATCTTGAGGAATTTTAGTGCATCTTTTGAGGAGAATGGGAGTTTGTCCAGCAAGGAACAAGGAGGAAGTGTTGGATCCAGGGAAAATTCGTCCAAAGCTTCAAGTGGAAGGTAAAAATCTTGCACCTTTCTCACTTATTTGGTTGGATCTCATGATTATGGAAGATTAGGGTTTCTACCACCTTTTGTTAGGACGTCGAGCATACAAAGTTATTGCGAGGTGTAGACCTCAGATCTGGACCTTGTGAAGTCCGTAGTGTCCAAAGGTCCCAAATTTATTCATCTATATGAGAGTTATTGTGCTTAACACCTTTGTTAGAGCTTTTATTTAGCATTATGGAGCAAGCATGCCATGCATGAACGTAAAGATCGAAGCTTTACATGACATTCGACTATTGGGAGGCTAGATCTAGAGTTTGGAGTGATAGACCTGCCTTAAAACGTCTAAATGAGATTTTGACTTAAGGGACTCGACGAGTCGGCTAGGGTTTTCTCCGATGAGTCTAGTCATGGG